AACAACACCACAACACCATTAACAACAACAACAACAACAACAACAACAACAACAACACCTTTACCACAACAGCAACAACAACAACACCACCACAACAGCAACAACAACAACAACAACAACAACAACAACACCACCACAACAGCAACAACAACAACAACAACAACAACAACAACAACACCACAACAGCAACAACAACAACACCACCACAACAGCAACAACAACAACAACAACAACAACAACACCACCACCACAACAGCAACAACAACAACACCACAACAACAGCAACAACAACAGCAACAACAACAACAACAACAACAACAACAACAACAGCAATACCACCACCCACCAGCGAACTCTGGCTGGGGTAGTCCCGGTACTGCGGCGGGGGGTCCGCCCCCTGCTGAGCCTTGCTGAGAGACGGCCACTTGGGCAGCCAACGAACAGCCTTCTTCCCGATCTTAAACTTCCCCGACAACGCTGACGACGATATCGTCGTGGTAGCCGTCGTGTTTGTCGGTGGAGGCAAGTCACTCCCTGGGGAAGAAGAAGGAGCAGCAGCTGCGGTGGAAGACTGCGCCTGCGTGATGTGTCGTTGTTTTTTCGGCAGCGGCAGCGGCAGCGGAGGAGGGTTGGGTTGGGTTGCGTAGGGAGAAAGAGCAAGAGAGAGAGAGAGAAAGAGAGACAGACAGGCATACAGACAGACAGACAGACAGACAGACAGACAGACAGACAGGCAGACAGACAGACAGACAGACAGATAGAGAGAGAAAGAGGAATACAGAGAGACACAGAGGGAGAGAAAGAGAGGAACCACTAGAGCAGGAAAAAAAAAAGTCGAGGAAGAGGAGGGCAACTCGTGAAATTCAGCCCATCGACGTCGATCTCAATGAAGCCCTAATATTGGCTTGTTGTAGGTGCTTGCAGGCACGAGCAGCAAGTCGTCTCGGACCCGGGTAACGGAAGGAACGGGGACGGCTATTCGTGGAGGGAAGGTGTTTGTTGTGCATGTCTCCAGGTTGCCACCGGAGTAATCGCGGGGACAGCGGCAAGAAATCCTCGCGTTGAGTGACTCTCCACAAGGTTGTAGTACAACCAAACCAAACATCCACCACTCTACAACAGCTATCGAACGCTCTCCCTGCTGCAACGACAACAACAGCAACAGCAACAGCAACAACAACAACAACAACAGTAACAACAACAGCAACAGCAACAGCAACACTCGTCGTGCAGTGCAAGAGACCGACCTGTTCTCGCTTTGCGTCGTCGTCTTCCCCCCCTCCCCCTCGCTCTTTCTCCTCCCGCTCCCTCTCGTCTATTTCCTTCCTTCTCGCGTTCTCTTCCTGCAAGACAAAAAAAATAATTACACACAACGGTTGATGCATTGTTGTTAAGGGAAGCTGTCTATTTCTGGCAAACAATCTTGTCCCAATCATTCGTTGCACGGATGCCTTGCTCGCACGGCCGTAAACGTACATGCGGCATAAAAACACAACACGCCCCACAGAACACCCGTAACGCCAACCTCCGTCAGCTGGTAAGTAGTTCATCCGCATGATCGTAAGCGTGTACATACCGCACAAAAACACAGCACCCCCCACAGAATACCATCAGCAACACCATTTCACCTCGGTGAGCTGGTAGTTCATGAGGGCCCAGGCGTGCCACGCGTCGTAGCTGGTGGGGTCCAGCTCGATCGCTCTCCTCAGCCAGCTCAGCGTGTTCACCAGGCTCTCCGGTATCACGTTGCCGTCCGGATTCAAGCCTCCGCCGCCGCCTCCGCCGCTTCCACCGCTACCGCCGCCTTGGCCGTCCGCCTGTTCGTCGCTATCCTTCTGGAAGCCCCGTAGAAAATGGGGGGGGGGGGGGTACTAGTGTGGAACGTTGTTCTTCTAGGTCGTGCCGTGCGTTGTGCATAACATAACCGCACACGAAACGGTTCGATTTCCAAACACGGAGATTACTCTCAAAAAAATGGTGACGGTGCCGAAAATGGCGGTAGGCGTTGGAAACAGCAGTCTCGCCGAGAGCTTTCCCGAAAATATATTAATTATATTTCGGCATCCTCTCCGTCGTGGAGCACATTATTTGAGCTTACCTTACAAATCGGTCCAGGGCGTGTGTTGCGAATCTTACGCAACGCAAGGCATGCCAAGCCGATCGTGGCAAACATTTCGGCCCCCTCAACCCACCTGTCCCCCCGACCCAACCTCTGCCTCTAAAGCAACCAGACCAAACACCCTTACCCTTATCGTCCTTGTCATTACATTAAAAAACGTTCCGGCCTCTTTTCATTCAGCACCTTCTAGCATCCGCATCCGTATTTTGGTCCAACTTACGCGGGGCACCGCCTACCTTCCGTGGTCATAGGCCAATACCGTGGGGGACCCCGAATAAGGCCATCTAAACACGGCGGTCGCCCTTGCATAGACGGAATAATCCTCAAATATATGGTGGTTCTGATTATAAGGCCGTCGCTCTATATATAAGGCGGGTGAAACTGGTTGGCACAGACGGAACAATCCCGGAATAAGGCGGTCGCCCTATACATAAGGCGGGTGAATTTAGGCGGCATACAGACGGAATAATCAAGTTGTTCCACACATTGAAACAAGGAGGCTGCCCCATAGATAGAAGGAGGCCATTATCAGCCGCCCCACCACCGATAAATCACGTTTTTCTCGAGGACCCCCACCACCGTACACGCAACTTTTCCTCACCATTTCGCGCATCTCCAGGCGCCACTCGCACGCCTGTAGCAGGCACTTGACGAGCAGGGACCGCAGCCCGTGCCCGGCCGCCTCCTTCGAGCCAGCGGGAGGCGTCACTCCGTGCATAGAGTGACCGCTGAGTATCATAAATAGTTGAATACCGCCACGTTGTGTATTGGGGGCGGGGGGGCGGGGGGTCAGGATGTTGGAGTCTGAATGTCAGTCACTATTTATCAACACCATCGTCAACTACCACATCAACAACCTACGTCTTGACGTCCCGAGAACGGTTAGGAAAAAAAAAAAAATCACAGCGGTTGCTTCCCTCTACACACAAGCGTTAGCAGCCGTGTGGGCGCTACGTGTCGCGCGGTGTTCTTAATAGCATGACCAAAAAAAGGTGTGTGCGGACGACCGGGTACTACAAAACTAGGAGAGCTCAGACACAAGCACACAGTGTCTTGCAAAAAACAAAACAACGGATACAGCAACTTGCCCATCCCGCCGGTTATCACTTACGGACCAAATTATTGCCTAAACCAGCTTGCATGAATTTTCGAAGCCGCATTTAGTGTTGTCATAGCCTGCTCCGTCCTCTCGAAGACGCGTGGTCAATCGTCTAACCGCCAAGCCATGCAAAACATAAGAGTGCCCCCCCCCC